AGCCAGGGCCCAGGAATCTGCATTTTAAACCATACCCACCCACCCCCAGGTGACTAGGCTGTCACAGGTGTCAGTAAATGGGAGGCAGATCTAATTTCATCGTGGTGGTCCCACTGGGTATGCCAGGCCCCTGGAGGGATCCTGGTGAAACAGAAGAGCACGGGTGTGCAGAACAAACATTCCCTGGGTGTCTTGGCATAGTCGGGAACGGCTGGGTTGAGAGAAATTTTGATCCATGTAGAGATGTGCGAATGGCTTATTGGGAAGATCCAGGGGAGACCCTGTGAAATCCAAAGGCAGGAGGTTCAGCCGGGCTTTGGGGCACCAGACGGTCTCTCTCTCAGGCCGCCTCACACCTGAGTCTGTTCCTCCCAGTCCGAAGTTCCCAGGACCCTGCCTGGCTCAGCTTGCGTCTGAGACCAACTCCTGCCCCACCAACCATAGTCAGGGAGGGAAGAATCGCGGGAGCTCAGGGGCAGGGGAGGCAGTGGTTGGCATCTCAGTGCCAAGCCCGGGGTGGGGGGGGCCGGTGCACCGACAATCTGGGAGGTTGCAATCTGGGAGGCCTGCATACTCTGCCCTGGGATCTCGGCCCCACAGCCAGAGAAATGACCACAGTTCCCCCGGAAATTGACGGGCGTGCAGTGGCGGCGGCCCCAGCCCCCAAGTGCTTCCAGAGCTGCTCCTGGTAAGAACAGCTGTGGCCGTGGCCCCAAGTGCGATCAGAGCAAGCCGGCTCTGACCCGTCAGGAGCAGGCAACCATTTTGATGAAACCCTAAGTAAAAAAGCGGTTCGTGGGCCCACCTTTTAAAAAGTCCTCATCAGAAAATGCAAATCTGGAGTTGAGCTTCATTAAGCAGTTTATCATTTTACTGCTCTTGAAGAGTTTCATTTTATATGCTGCGATTTTAGAAATTGGGACAGGTAGTCGGAACTTTTCGATAACCAAGTTTGTGTTAAGGTGAGGTAAGGTATCTGGGGAGGGGTTGGGGGGAGTGGACAGTTGGGACAAAACAGCCCCTCTTAGAACGTAAGGTGCAGTGCTATTCTTTCAATATTTGTTCGCTCAGAATAGTAGGTGGAAGGCTTCCAAGGAAAGGATGTCCCGGGGAATACCATCCAGCACTAGCCTTCACCCCACTGAGCTGACAACAGCCCTACATTTGGTCACCTAGAGCCATGCTCCTTAGAGGGAACAGCTACAGTCACTCGAACTTACCTATTAGGAAGCCTCTGGCTGCAAAGAAAAAAAAAAAAAAGTCCCTCTCAAAGCTTTAAACAAGGACATTTATTACCTCAAATAACGAGATGTTCAGGGGTAGGGCAGTCTCCTTGTCCGTTGACTTGTCAGTTCAAGGATATCTTCAAATGTGTACAAAACCCAGCAGGGCCTATTTTCCTTAGTGTGGCCTACGTTGTGATCACAAGATGGCTGCCACAGCTCCAGGCATCAGACATAACTTACCCCCAGAGAGCAATGAAGAGCTCCTCATTGTGTCTCTTTTCAGAAACAAGAAGACCCTTCTACTCACATATCATTGGCTGAAATTTGGTCACACAGCCATTCTTTAGCAGCTAAAGTTGATCCCTGAAAGTCAAGTGGGAGCAGCACAACTAACCATTTAGGGTGGATGGATGGATGTGGGTAACCAGCCCATAGCTTCTGGCCTGGTTGCCCTCTTTGAGGTTCTCACCCCTACCCCAAGTGGCTTCTCAGAATATCCCTCTGAATATATACAATATGCCCCAAACACTGTCTGGGTAAGGACAATTTCCTCTACTTTGTCATGCTTCTGGGATGTTTTAGTCATCCTTACACACGTGCCCCAAACATCGCCCCTTGGGCGGAAACACTGACATATTAGCAGGTGGATGCACACCACTCGTATTGACTGACTTGTCTCCCCTCCCGCCTTTCAGGGGGTTGCAAGGAAACATTCCAGCCCTAAAAAGCCTGGCAGGTGAGGGCACCCTTGTGACCACCACCACCCCCACACACACCACCCCCGTCTCTCTCCTGCTACTTCTTCCATCCTATACTCCAGGCCCTGCAGAGGTTGTGGTCACAAATACCACAGGCAGCACCCTGACTCAGCCTGTGTGGGGAACCACTTCCCCAGCTCCCATGTCAAGCTGTGGTCCTAGGAGAGGTGGAAGTAATTACTCAGCATACACTGAATGCTCACACTGGCATGATTCCCTGACCTTGATACTTTTCATTTCTTATTCTTGAACTTGTTCTGTGGACTGAGGACGGTAGATTGCTCATCCTAAGCCACATCTTCCTGAGTGTGCATGATTTTTCCCGGCTGGCTAGGGAGACATGTGACTCAAGTTCTGAATCCACGTTAGGAAGACCTAGGGCCTGGTCCGTCATGTTGGGTGACCTTGGGCCAGCCCCTCCCCATCTGTGAATCCCCCATTAGCCCAGCAAACAAGCTCTGATGAGTCTAAGATACACAGCATGAGCACCATCACCATCCCCCCTGTGCTCATAGCAGACATCACTAATCAATCACAGGCTCTTTCTCTCTGAACCAGCACTGATGCCAGAATTCTCCTCACTCCAGGCCCCCAGGCAACCACCGTGAACTGATCTGTGAGAATAGGCAGGTTTTTGCACAGAGCCTTCCATCTGCCATCCCTGACGTCCCTCCCGACTGTCAGGCCCTCAGCCCAGTTTCCTTTTAAAGCTTCACCTTTCCCCCTGCCTCCTCTCCCCTCTGAAAAGGAACTTTGCAACTCCATCCCCCCTGGTATTCCTCTGGAAGGCTCTGCCCTTCTTCCCATAAGATTCTAGGCATTTACATCCCTGCTCTGACATTTTTCAGCTCTGAGAACTTAGCAGCTTTCTTAACCTGAGTCTCAGTTCCCTCGTCTGTAAAATGGAGCTGTTATCTGCCATAAGAGGCTGAGAATGTGCCTGGCAGAGCATCAGCCATGGGCACTCAGCATACACTAGTCACTTCTCCTGTAGGGTCTGCTCTGCAATGAAGGATTTTGATGGGGAAAAATGACACAATCAGCCATCACTTGACAAATTTTTTTATTTTAGCCTTTGCATCCCCCTCCCAGGCTGCCTGATATCTCTGTCCCCATCCAACTCTGGAGGCAGCCTGACCCCATCTTGTGCTTTTTGGGGGGGTGGGGCCTTAAGGGGAGCAGTGGTAGGCACTGTACCTTTATAGAGCTTGTAAACCTGTACCACGATGGGGGCCAAAACCTCACCCCACCAGCTGGGTCTGGCCAGGACATGGGCTCTGGGCAGATCCTAACATCCCTGGAGACCCAGAGCCTATGGAGGAGAGCAGCCATCCCCACCCCCTCCATTTAGGACTTGGAAAGGAGGGGGGTGGGAAGCGTACAAAGACCCCAGGGGCACCTGTCAGGAGAAGAGGACTTGCTGGGAAGAAGGCAGAGACCCGGGTGAGATTCTTGAGGTGCCTTTGTCTTCAGCCAAGGCTCTTGACCCTCTCCCTGGGGGCAGTGCCAACCCTCAGCCAAGCCCAGAGCTGGGGCACTTCATCCCCTCCCACCAGCTAACAAGGAACAAAAGCAGTGAAAACACCAAGCTCTGTTGCCAGGGGGGAAAACACCCTAAGTATTAAAAATTAAATTAAAACTGTAGCCCCAGTCAACTGAGCCAGCAGTGAGCTGGTGATTGCAGACACACACAGACACCCCCCATTCTTCCCCGAGCCCCAGGGTCTCCAAAGACAGCAGGAGGGGGCCTCAGGACCAAGTCCCACTGTCACCAAGGGGAACCCTCTGGGGAAATACAGGTTGGGGCATATGTGTCCCCTCAGGTGGTCCCCAGTGTGGGGCACTGAGAACTGTAAACATAACCCAGCTTGAGGGTCGGGGGTGTCCCAGCCCCCCCGAGATTCTCCCTGGATGAAGAATGGCCACTGTGGTGAGTGAGTACAGTAAAACAGCAGTCGGTCTTGAAGCAGAGCAAGACCTGGTCTCCCCATCCGAATACTGGGGGTGAAGGTGGGCTGAGACTGTGATGGAGGAAGGGGGTTCCAGAAGCCAAACACAGCTTGGCAGCTGTTCCTTTGCAGTACCAGATCAGCACCCAGGCCCTCTCTGGGGGGGTGAGTCAGCTCCCAGCCACCCATCGCTGGGGAACCCGGCTAGAAAGTCAGCTCAGGCCACAGCTGCCCAGCTCAGGACTGGACAAGGTCAGGCGAGCTCCTGAGAGGCCCCAGCCCAGGCTGGGGCAGAAGACCCGCTCCAGCAGGAGACTGAAGGAAGTGGTTAAGGAGTGTTGCGAGGGCATGTGAGAACCACCACAGGGACACAGGCATGGCCCAAACCAGAGGGCCACTACAGTGCCTGCCGCACCTTCTCAAGGCCTGGCTGAGGCCCACTCCAAGCCAAGAGCCCTTGGGACCAGGCAATCCCACCATACGGGTCACGCATTAAAACCTGCGCCTGCACCGCCTTCTGTACCTGTTCTGGAGCCAGGCCCCGGAGCAAAAGGTCAAGCCCAGGTGTGGTGCCCCACAGCCAAGGCTTCTGTCTGTCCAAGTCCAGGTCCAGTCCGAGAGGCCAGGAGGACCAGGGCTGACCCGGCATTGCCTTTCAGGCCCCAGATCCTCCCATGGTCGCAGTCCCCCCAGCGGGGGGCCTGTTACCAGCAACAGGCCTTTGCTGGGTGACTCCCGCGGGGCGTGGGGCCCGAGTTCCCTGGATACCAGGCCTCCGGCTTCTTGAGGCTCACCGAGGCCCTGGATGCTCCTCAGAAGCGGCACATGGCCCCCTCCGAGTCCCACAAGTCCTAAAGCACCCCGCAGAACCCAGCACTTGCTCAGAGCCGGGGCCCGGAAACCAGGCCACCCCGACTTCCCTCAGGACCAGGCCGCCCCACCGCCACCCCTCCGGTCTCCCAGGGCAGGGGCTGTCAGGGCGAGGCCTGGGGCTGCGGTCCCTCCAGAACCAGCCCCCACCCCACCCCCGGGGGCGAGCTCAGGGCTGGCCCGCCCCGCTCAGCTCTTCAGGGCTGGGCCCGGCTCCGGCTCCCGAGCCACTGGCTCCTCAGCGCCCTCACCTCCTGCCCATACCACTCGTGCAGCCGCGCGAAGGAGCCGGCGTGCGGAGGCCCGTTGGGCGCCCAGGCCCGCCGCCGGGGAGGCAGGGGCGGCGGCGCGGGGCCGGGCCGCGAGCCGGCGGGGGCGGCAGCGCCCGCGGGGCTGAGGATGAGGGCGGCGGCGGCGGCGGGGGGCGGCTCGGCGCTCCACACGGCGCAGCCGTTCTCCTTGGGCGGGAGCGCGCGGGGCCGGCGCGGCGGCGGCGGGCAGTCCCCGGCCCGCATGGCGGCCAGCTGCTGCTCCAGCTCGCGCACCACGAGCCGCAGGTAGTCGAAGCTGGCCCGCGACAGCGCCTTCACCCAGCCCTCCATGGCGGCCTGGCTCTCGGCGGCCAGCACGTAGGTGCGCGCCCGGGCCCCGGCGAAGCGCACGGCGAAGGCGAACTCCTCGGCGGCCTCCACCAGCTCCACGGTGCAGCCCTCCAGGATGATGACGCCCACGGGCTCGCGGCTGGCCGGCTCCTCGAAGTAGAAGAGCATGTTGCCGCGCAGCACGAACCAGCGGCGGTGGTAGGCCGCGTGCCGGCCGCCTTTCTTGTACAGGAAGCCCGCGTTGTCCACCGGGGCGTCGCACGTGGCGTAGAAGGCCAGGCTGCGCTCGTTCAGCTTCATGGCAGCCGCGCCGGGGCCTGTCCCCCACCAGGACAGCGAGCCGTGACTCCCATGGCCACCGCCACCGGGTTCCACCACCCCCCGGCCGCCGCCACCACCGCCACCGCCACCACCACCGCCACCACCGCCACCGCCACCACCACCGCCACCGCTGCCACCACCACCGCCACCGCCGCCACCGCCGCCACCGCCACCACCGCCGCCACCGCCGCCACCGCCACCACCACGCTTACCGCCGCGCCTCGCCGTGACCTCGCGACCACCCTCGGCCACCGGCGGCCCTCAACGCCCCTCTCGCACAGGTGAGGAAACAGGCTCCTGGAGCAGAAGCGGCCTGGCCACGCTCACGCAGCTCCTCAGGAGCAGAGCCAGGGCCCAAGCTCGGGCCTGACTGGCCCCAGAAGCCTCCGCAAGGTACGGTGGAGGAAGACTACTGCAGGCCGAGCATTTTACACGTATTAACTCATCTCATCTCGCAGCAAACCCCGGTGGGCGGGGGCCTCGCACCACCCCTATTTGACAGGTGGGGTAACAAGGGACAGAAAGGCTAGTCACTCTCAGGCGGTCACAAAGCAAGATGGGCGGAATGAAATTCAAACCCAGGCCTCATTTCAGGGGTGGACGTTTTCATCATCCCCAGAAACTAGACCGGCTGTCTTTCTGTGGTCCCTTCCAGGTCCCAGCTCTGCTTTTATAACTCGGCTTTGATTTGCCCATCATGAAATGGGGACATGAACAGAACTTATCTGCAGGGCCTTCATTCATCAAACATCTGTTAAACACCCGCATGTGCTGTTCCAGGCACTGGGAGTACAACCATAAACAAGATAGAGAGGGTCTCTGCCCTCAGGGTACTGCTATGCTGGTGGCAGGGGAAGGGGGCAGACAATTAACAAACAGGTAAAGTACATCTCCCAGGTGGTCTTCAGTGCTGGAGAAAATACAATACAGGGAAGGGACCAGGGCGTTAGGGACAAAAGGAATGTTTGACTTTAATGGGAGTCAGGAAAGGCTGTACTGAGAAGGTAACGTCTGAGCAGAGACCCGAAGGAGGTGAGGGAGGGAGTCCCAGGGACATACGAAGCAGAGGAAAGAGCAAGTGCAAAGGCCCTGAGGTAGGAACCCACTGCTGTGCTTGAGGAACAGCCAGGAGGCCGATGAGGCCAGAGCAGAGGGGCAAGGGGAGAGGCAGAAAAGACTTATTATGAAGTGACCCAGATTAAAGGGCCAGGGCTTTTTTATACAAAGGGGATGGGGAGAGCACCAGGTACCCACTTAAAGCGGAAGACTCTAACTCTATACACTTGGCCCAGTGATATTTATCCACCTTCCCCCAAGGAGTACATGATGGGGGCAACACTGGCCAGATGGGACTAATTGGGAGGTGACGGGCCCCTAACATAGCCATACCTCCCTTGGAGTTTTTCATGGCCACTTTGGGCTTCACAGCCCCACTCTGCCTAGGACAGTAGCTGAATTTTTCAAGAGGCAAAGCATGTAAAGTCCCTGGATTGCAGAAGATACTCAATTAATGTTCATTCCCCAGCCTGGGTGGTGCCTTACCCAAGGCCTGGAGGAATGAGGTATGGCTGGTGACTCCTGGGAGCATCTGCCAAGCCAGGCAACCTGACCCAGAGCAGAGGGGAATGATTGCTCCCAATGGAATCCACCTCATCTAACTTGCCTGAGCAGTCAAGGCAGGCTTCCTGGAAGAGGCAACACGCGCTATGATTTAGTAGTTGAGATCAGCCTGTCTTGACCTGGCAGTGGCACCAAGGTCAGAGAGAGGCCCTGAGGGCTCAGGGTGTTTAATCCCTGCTCTGCCTACCTGAGCTGAGTGACTTCAGACACGTGGCCCTGCTCTGAGCCTCAGTTCCTCTCTGCAAAACAGGACTCATGCGTTCTCCCTCACACCCCAACAACTCCATGTGGACCCTGGCTCCATTTCTCACAGGAACCACCCACCCTTCTTGTCCCATCACCCTCCTACCTTGCAGGCCACCGCTTGCCTCCCTGCCCTCTGCCCAGTCTGGTATCGGCTTGCTCTTCTCTGGGTTCAAACGTCAGCTCTGTAGTGTCCAGGTTGTGTGACCCTGGGCAAGCTTTAAGCTTCTCTGGGCCTCTGTTTCCACATCTGTAAAATGGGATCATGACAGCACCTACGTCAGGGTGTTGTGATATGACACAGTGACTCTGTAGAAGGTGCTGAGCATGGTGCTGGACACACACTACCCACTCAGCAGCGGTAGTGTTGATATTCTTCTCAGCCTGGCCAAATGCTCCCCTCAGCACTCTCTGTCGCAACAAACGGCTTTGCCTTCTCCCCCCACCCCCACTCTGCACTCATCAAGCGCAGTGGATCCCCCCCATCCAAACCTCTTCCAAATCAGTGGCCTAATATCTCTGACCTCTACCACCTCCCCGTCCTCGGTCCGTATCGTCACTCGCCTCAACAGCTGCAGTAGCCTCCTCACTGTCTCCCTGCCTCCCTACCTCCACCCTTGCCCCTTCCCTGCCCCTGTTCTTCAGGGTAAGACCCAAACTCCCTCCTTGGCCCCTCCCCGGGCCCCACTACAATCCATTCCCCACACAGGGATCCTGTTAAGATAAGTCTAACCACACCCCTCCTCTACTCTAAACACTCCCATGACTCCCTACTTGTCCCAGTATTAAATTCAGTCCTCCCCATGGCTTCCAAGTGCCCTTCCCCAACCTCTTTCCCCCTTGCTCATTCAGCTCCAGCCACCCTGGCCTCTTTGCTGTTCCTCAAACACACCAGCCTTTGCCCTGGCTGTTCCCTCTGCCTGGAATGCCCTTCTCCTATCTTCACATGGCTTCACACTTCTGATCCTTCAGTTTTAGCTTGACCTTCAGTATGCAAGAGACAACCCCCCCCAGTCACTCTCCTACACCCCAACCTGAAATTACCTAGGTCATCTTTGCCTACTCTAGGAAGGCAGGGGTTTTTTGCCTGAATTCCAGTGCCCAGCATGTAGTTGGTGCTCAAATACCTGTAGAATGAATCAGACAATTATCTTCTGAAATCTCTCTACAGCTCTGTAAGAAGGGATCTGTTCATCAACCCACATTCATAGATGTGGAAAATGGAGACAGAGAGGTTAAGTAACTTGCCCAAAGGCACAATGTTGTGCCCAGAGTCACAGGCTCCAGGCAGCCAGCACAAAGGGGCTGATCCTGGGATGTCCCCACCCCATTAAGGCCCAAGGAAGAGCAATTTCCCTCATGGCTCAGCAGCCATCCTCCCCCTACTGCCCAGATGGGGCCGGCCTGGCCCAGGGTCACCGGCCAGCACAGAACCCCACTCTGCCCATCATCCTTACCTCCTCCAGCCCAGCAAAAAACGGGGGGGGGGGGGCAGGAAGCAGCAGGGGTGTGGGCTCCAGTCTCTGGGAGGGCCCGGTCACCCACTTATCTCCTCACACTCATGCTGTTTTCCAAGAAGTTCAGAGTCCACTGTGGGTACTGCTGTTGATTCAACAGTCCTTGGCCAGGCAGGAAGCAGGAGGGAGCCTGGCCTCTCTCTGGTCCCAGGGCCAAGTTTTCCCCTCCACCTAAAGAATATCACTTCACCTTCCCTAGCCTGTTTCCTCACCTGTCAAATGGGCCATGGAGTGGGTTCAATGGGCTAGAATGAGGAAAACCCACTGGCAAACTATGGGAAAGGCACCGAAAGCACTGCCACTGTGAGTCGGGGTGAGCCTCATCTATAAAATGAGCATATTAATATCCACCCCTCTGGGAAGGATTGAATAAACCCGGAGGAGGCATTCTGCAAAATGTTTACCAGGTAGGGAGCACTCAGGAAAGATGCTGTCCAAAAGGCAAATAATTAGCTCAAGGTCTCCAAGGACACAGCTGGCCCAGAACCCAGGACTCTGGAGAAACTGAGGCATGGATTTTGGCATTCAATTCAAGAAGCCAGACCACAGGTGCTGAGATTGAATCCAGCTGCCACAAGTGTCCCCAACAGTGGGCATGGGGGGGAGGGTGTGGCAGGTACAGGCCGAAAAACGTGCTGAGAACCCCGAAGAAGAGCGCCTCTCCAGCGGGGGCCAACGGGGACGCCAGGACCCCCGCCCCAGGCTCGAGGCAGCCCTGCTGCCCACTGCAGAGGCTGGTTCTCCAGGTCTGGCACCGCTCCTGGCTGCCCTCGTCCCCTTTCTTTGTGTCTGCTGTGTTCCTTAAAGGACAGCCAGAGCCCCAGATGAGGTGGGTCACCGCAGAACGTGGGAGCCAGAGTTCCACCACTGGCGGAGGTCCCTTATGGGGCGGGGGTCGTTGGCCAAGCTCGGCCCCTGGGGTACCGAATGGGTAAATTACCAGTGGCGTGTTATCGCTGATGGGCAGCTCTCTCCAGCAGTGGTCTCCCCAGACAGCCGGGGACCCCGAGGCCCACGACGGCCCCGAGCCCGGTCTCGCGCCACCCGCAGGTCCCCCCTCGCCAGGCCGGTCTTACCTCGCCATGCAGCCTAGGGAGGCGGCGGCGGCGGCGGGACGGGAGGCGCGGGACCGGGGGGCCGCCCGGCCATGGCCCGGGACCCGCTCGGTCGCGGCGGCAGCGGCGGTGCTTTGTCTCCGGGGCGGCCCGGCTGGCGCAGCCGCGGGAGAGCGCCACTCGGACGGAAGGAGGCGGGGGCAGCCGGACGGTCCACGACCCACGGGCGCGCCCCTTTAACCCTTCCCAACCCGCCCGCTCCGGGGACGCCCCCGCCTTCGTCCCGTCCCCGGATTGGCCAGCGCCGACTCGACACGCCCCCTCAGTTAGCCACGCCCCCGTTGGCCGCCCTCCGAAACCACTCTTAAAGGGACCGCGCCTAACTCACCAATCCCCAGTGTCCTATCCCAGGAAAGAGGCCTAGGGCCCCGACACCGAACGCGCTTCCAGGGGTAAGGACCGGCGGCGGATTTGCCTGGAAAAAGGATCTGGGGTCGTGGGCGGGACCAGTCGCTGCAGCCCTAGGCCAGAGTCGGAGCTCCTCCCTGGCTAGCGTTGCCAGGTTTAGCAAATTTAGCTCCTAGCTAAATCTGTAAAACAACTCTGCTGAAAATTTGTAATTTATTGAAAAAAAAAAAACTGTATACAGCACATTTAAGGCGTTTTGACAAAGTCAGTAGAGGACTGTATTATATGCACAGGGTGTCTGGCAACCATCCCCCTTGTCCCAGTGAAGGGGGAAAGTCCTGGAGTTGGGAAGGCGTGGGTTTGGGTCCCACTGAGCCATTTGATCGCTGTGGGCCTTTGAGACATCACTTCACTTCTCTGGGTCTCTGTTTCCTCATCTGTAAAATAAAGACAGTCGTCGAATATAAAGTTCATGGCACACAGTAGGTGCTTTCAGCAAACAGGAACTGCTGTCCTTTTTATTCCACCCAAAAGTACACAGTTCTACCTCGTGGACCTTTGTTTATTTCCTGCTCTTGCTGCCACCCTCCAGGACTCAGTCATTGTACAGTCCTGGCCTGAGGACAAGAGAGGAACAGGACAGACCACGATCATGTATTCATCCTACAGCCTCTTACTAGGCACCTACTGTGTGCCAGGCACTCTTCCTTAATCAGTCAACAACTGAGTTCTGGAAATGATTTGTGCTAGGAAGACAATCAGCCATGGCGGTGAGGTAGAAAGAGTGGGAGTGAGATTTTAGACAAGGTAGTCAGAGAAAGTCTCTCCAAGGAGCAGAGACCTGAATAAAGTGAGGGAGAGAGCCATGTATATGTCCAGAAGAAGATTGTCCCAGGCAGAGGAAACAGCATGTGCAAAGGCCCTGAGATGGGACCATCCCAAGCATGTCTGAAGAACAGGGAGCCGGCCCAATGGGGCTGCAGCCAAGCGGGCACGTGAAATAATAATAGGAAATGAAGTCAGAGTATTGGTAAAGCCAGGCTGCTTAGAGCCTTATGGATCATAAGAAAGATTTTACTTTTACTCTGAGAAGAAGGGGGAGCCATGGGAGGGTTTTGAGAACAGGAGAGGAACATGGTCTGTCTTAGGTTCAACATGGTCCCTAGCTGCCATGAGAAGGATGGACTATACAGAGAAGGGTAGTGGCAAGAGACCAGGGAGGATGCTATTATAGTAGTCTGAGCAAGTGCTGGTGGTCACTTAGAGCAAAGCAGAAGCAGTGGGGGTGGAGAGGAGTGGTTGAATTCTAGAGCTTACCTGATAGTGAAGCCAGCACAGAGGAAAGTAGGACCAAGACCCACAACATGGAGAGAGACAGATACCTAAAGTTATCTGATAGTGGCTGAGCCCCTGAATCCACCTATACCTGATGCTGCTACAATTCTTTAGCCAGGAAAGGCTAGCTGGAATTTCTGCAAATGTAGACACTCGCCAGATAAGGAAAATGCCAGGCACAAAGGCTTCTGGGTCTTGATGTGGGGAAATTCTCCCAGAAGTCTGTGAACCCTGGTTCTCAGAGCCCCTCATGCAGCAGTTGGGGTTTGGCATGGGTGAAAGAGGCAGAAAGCAGAAAGCAACCACCTGGCATCCTTTTTTAAAATTCCTTATTATTTATTTTAATTTTAATTGAGGTCAAATTCACATAACAAAAAATTAATCATTTTATTTATATTAAAAAATGTTTATTTTTTGAGTAATCTCTACACCCAACATAGGGCTTGAACTTACAACCCGGAGATCCAGAGTTGCATGCTCCACCAACTGAGCCAGCCAGCCAGGAGCCCCCCAAATTAACCATTTTAA